CAACCCCTTTCGATTGATTATTTGACCACGCCCAAGGCATCATAGATTAATTTATTCTAATTCTGCCTAAAATAATTTCAATTTGAAGATAGGCTGGTAGAGATCCTGATGAGTAATGAAATCAAATTGAGTACACGCTCGCCCCATGCTTGGTATTGCTGGCGAACACAAATATAGCTAAGAAAAAAAAGCCTCATAGTTTAATTTTCTCTAATCCTGCCTAAAAGAATTTCAAGTGCCGCAGCTATTGAAGATTCCCTCTTGTTTAATATTGCAGGAAGCCTATAATAGATTTTAAAAGATTTTCCTCTGATTATTGTAAGAGAGAGTTGGGATAGTCAAATGACATATGACTTGTGGCATTTAATACTATTTAAGCGCTCTGCTCGGACAATATGTTGATCCAGAAAGTTTTTGTGATATTACAGAAAACTATGATAGAATTATAATAATTCTTTCTGCTTAGTGTAAGGAAGAACTCGAATGACAAATGGAATACATAATTCGTTGTTAATTAACTATCCACTGATAAAGATTTGAATTTTTTTTTTTTTAAGTGGAGAGTTGCAGAAATTAAATGATAGACGATTTTACTATTTAATTTTTTATTGAATGCATTGTGAAAATACGGTGGGAGAATGTTTTCTTTGGATTTCTTACTTAAATAGGACTATTTTGCACACACAAAAATATGTTTTGGGGAAATATATCTTGGTAAGTTATAAATGGCATGTTACCCAGAAGTAAGTAACATTGTTCAATTGAGGAACCAACAAAAATAGTTCCATGTTATATTTACACTATTACCTGGAAGTAAAAGCAATCAACTAAAGAATTGGAGCATTTGTATGTGTATTAAGCAACAAATATAGAAATATTACCTGTACATTACAATGTGCAATAGAGGATTAATTGTCATGTCTGGACCCTAATATACCATTTAATAAAGTATTGGGTGCCAACTGTTGTTTCCTCGTGTGTTGTTTACAACCACTGACGTTAATTAATACTGTTACGACAGCGGAAGTCACGTGACCCTAGTAACACGTCATGAGTTTCTAGGAAGATCGTGACTGTTCCTCGCAACTCTAGTCTTTTCTAGGCGCCCTCTATTTTAGAATATAAGCCCGGCAAATAAAGCGGAGAAATAATTCCAGATAGGGAGATATAGAGACAGATAATCGAGTCAAATCGTAAGTAAAGTGCGTGAATCGTTGTGAATTATAGCGTGTGTTTAAGTTAAAGAGACTGTGGAGATTAAGTGTATTGCAAAGTTGTGTTGAGAAGAATAAACTAGTTTTATTTAAGAAAGGACTTGTATCGCTGAAGTTCATCGGAAATAATTTTTTACGGAAATTAACAAACGACCAGAGACATAACAATACTATGATTGTTAGTGCTTTCGGGTTCATGGCATCACATTCCGACAATGACTGAGTTAAATGTTAATTTTAAAGTCGAACTGAAATCGTACTTCATTTCCAGATTGATTGTGAATTATAAATTTTTGAACGATAACTTTAAAAATGTCTGAACCAGAGACGTGTCACTGATATATATATATGTGTTGCGATTTCTTTTTCTCAAAGTAGCGATACTTAATCGTATTGCATTAAACTTCGATCAAACTTACTGTTGCTTTTTTGTTGTTGTTTTTCTTAGCGGAAAAATTCACAATGGGCTATCCGCGTTGTGTCCGCTGAAGGGAATCGAGTCTAATATTTTAGCGTTGTAAGTCTGTAAACTAACCCGCTGACCATTCGACGGACAACAAACTTATTAAATATTACTTAGTTTTGGTCTAAAAAAGTCATGTAATTTGAAATCAGTATTTGTACCATTGTCCCCCGGTGGGACAGCGGTAAGTCTATAGACTTGCAACTCTAAAATGCGATGTTTGATTCCCCACGGTGGACACAGCAGATAGCCTAATTTGGCTTTGTTCAAAACAACAAAAAACAATTTTAAACAATTTTTAAGGTTGAGAGATTTTCATAACTTTGTTGTGAAACAGTATTTTGCAAAAATAATAATTGAAAAAAAAATCTTCTTTTTATCTTAAAATTTCAACTTCTTTTATCGTTATTCAGAAAGTTTCATTTTATATATCCAGTCAGTTTCAACTAGATTGATATTTATTAGCACATTTCTTTCAACGCTATTTTGCCAGTTAGATAGATTAGTCGCAGATTTCCGCTACAAATTGTTTGTTTTTCTTATCCCAAAGCCACATCGGGCTATCTGTTGTGTCCATCGAGGGGAATCAAACCTCTGATTTTAGTTCGTAGACTTGCTGTTGTCCTATCGGGAGAACCAGCTATAAATCGTAAAAAATGCGGCAGAAACTGACAATGATTCATCGGTGACAGTGGACCTAACCCTTTCCAAATAACATTATGTTACCTCTCCGTTCGTTCGTTAATTTTCCGTAAAAATTCTTTCCGAAGAAACTTTACCGATAGAAGTCCTTTCTTAAATAAAACTGGTTTATTCTTTCTGAATATAACTTTGCAATACACTTAATTTCAACAGTCGCGCTATAACAAACGCTATAATTCTCAACGAACGTCTCACTTGCTCGACTAAACAATACTCCGTTCAATTACACACATTGTTGCCGTCAGTTTGTAACCGTTTTATATATACAAGACTACACTATATCAAGAAGGATCCCGAGATTTAAGGAAAGGACGTGAATGTTCGAGAACGACGTGGCGTGATACTAGTCACGTGACCTCTGCTGACGCAACAATTTTATTTATGTAAACGTTACATACGGCAACGGCTATTTCATGAAGCTTGTATCAAGTTGACACTGTGATTGTGTCCACTTACTGGTGCAAGGTAAGCCCGTTTCAAGGAGTGACAAACAAACGTTTACAAAGTGGCATGAGTTGGGAGTTCTTTCTCTGGAATACATTATTTCGAATAGTGGGCAAAGCAGGTAATTTAGCGCCATCAATGGGGGGCGACGACTACCCTCTCCAAGTCTCAATATATATATTTATTTATTTAGAAAGATTGAAAGGAACTAATTTTTGTTCCCCATTGCCCTAATGCCCCTCTGTAATTATTATTTTATGCGTGAATTCCAAAGCATACTATGTAGACCATCAAATTCAGCGTACTATATGTACAATAACAGCGAGAATAAAAAGCCAACTAGGTCAAATGCCGCTCTTATTGAAATTATTATTATTATTTTTGTGGTGTTGCATTTGGGTTTTGTTATTAGCGTATAAAATGTTATAGGTGCTTTGTTGATTAAGAAACGTGTGGGAAAACTTCTTGTTTTCCCTTCTGTTGGTATATGTAAGATTAAGGTAATGCGATGGTTCCCATTGATAAAGGGCTGGCATATCTTGGTGGTGTTTATTACTGTATTCGACGGTGTATAAGACGATACTTTTCACTCTTAAAACAATGCCTGATTTTTAACCCTCGTCTTTTACACAGATTCAAAGATAAGAGTTCCAGTAAGAACTATCTAGTTAAAAGCATATTTAACCGAAACTACGTTGTTCCTCTTAGTTTTGTTCGCTTTTTTGAGTAAAAGCGTGGACATCGTGCCAACTACTGCGTTACAACATATTTGTAGTTGTATAATACGTCTCGATTCTTCACAACCAGAAGTTATCTATCTCACATGTTAGTTACAATTAAACAAGAAGTTTTGTTTGTTTTGAATTTCGCGCAAAGCTACACGAGGGCTATCTGCGCTAGCCGTCCCATAATTTACCAGTGTAAGACTAGAGGGAAGGCAGCCAATCATCACCACCCACCGCCAACTCTTGGGCTACTCTTTTACCAACGAATAGTGGGATTGACCGTAACGCTATAACGCCCCCACAGCTGAAAGGGCGAGCATGTTTGGTGGGACGGGGATTCGAACCCGCGATCTGCAGATTGCGAGTCGAGCGCCCTAACCACCTGGCCATGCCGGGCCTAATCAAGAAGTATTTGATTTGAAATGCACTGGTCTTATCCGTCGATACTAAAATATTGCTAATATTATATTAAAGAAGTTATTTTCTGTAACGTACATTAATTTTGTAAAGTTGTTTATTACGTGTTTGTGACTTAAGTTATGCCACATTGAGCTGTCTGTAGCATATGAAGAGCATAAAAAAATCACTAGTGGTTGTATTGATTATCCAAGACCGCAAGTTAGTACAGTTTAAAATAACTTCTAAGAGTTTCTTTACAAAAGTGACACTGTAGACTTGCTTTAAAATCGAGGCAGTCTCATACACTGATCCTAAAAAAAATCCAGGATCGTCTTATACACGGGATCGTATTATACACCGGCAAATACGGTACTTTCTTTCCCTTTATCACTTCAAAATTAGAGAAGGTTAGTGCAGATAACCTTCAAGTAGCTTTGCGAAATATCATAAGCAAGTGCACAAACCAAAAACAAACCCACTGATAAAACCGAAGTGGTTTGCTGTCAGTGATCGATTACTGATAAGTACTGTAACAGGATTAAACTTTGCTTCCTTCCCCTAAGATTTTGCTGAAATTATGCCACTGAGGTAACCCATAAATTATGGGATAATACGCTAACACCATTTGTCTGATTTGAAAGCGCTGTTTAATACACTTTTTTCTGTTTTTGTCCTGTGATGACATGTTAGGAAATCCTTTTAGAGCTCCAGCGACCAGTGGAATCACAATATATATAAATATAAGCCAGACAGTAGGTGAAAATATTATACGTAACAATGAATAAAGAATTGTTTAATTTGTTCACATATGTTAATTTTTTATTTACTGTCTGTCTATAAATAATCGCGAAGAAAACCTGTGTATCAACGAAACGAAAGTGTCACGATTAATAGGAAATTTGTTCTGTTATCGAATTTTAATTCTGTCATATTATTTTAATATTATAATTTAAAAGTGAGAGACTTTTTGGTTGCTTGCTGTTATGCGCAAAGCTACACATCGGGCTTCGATACCCGTGGTGGGTACAGCATAGACAGCAATTTATGCTTAACAAACAAACAAACCGCAAAAACTTACAGCTGACTCACAGGAAGCCATGACGATTTGGCACGTGATTTCCTGCAGTGGGTGTAGATACTTGACTGGAACGATTTCGAAAGAAAAACGCTCATTCTTTAGCCTCGGACTTATTTAATTTTAGTTAATAAAGCAAGATTAATTCGAAGTTAGTTATGTATATGGATCCAAATTCTCCAATTTCAAATCCTGTAAGTTACATATATTTCCCTTTTATAGTAAGTTACATGATCGATAGGCATAATTATATGTAGTTAAGAGTAATACTAATAGTAATATTAAATTAATAATAATACATGAGTTATAACTAAATTGACCAATCATAGTCATACTAACAGTAACAAACATAGTATGGCATTGGCAAAATTAGTGATATTATGATAGTGTTACTGTTAGACCAAGTGACTATCCTAGGAATATTTCTTTTTACTAACTATAATACTAAATCATTAGTATCAGTTTTAGAAATACATATTACTACTTTAGAAAATAAGCAGATCAAACCCATTCATAATTCATGTAAAACCAGGACTAGACAAGTAGGAGTGCTTAATATCTCGGTATCTGGCAGTGTGGCATGGCATATGTTTACTCAGTAAGTAAGAGTCAGTTGAACTTTGAAGTGTGTATTACACGTTTAAAGTATAGAAAGGAATGTATTTTGCAATTAATTATTTGTGTTTCAAAGTTTAAGCCACATTTCAAATAGAGGTGAGGTTTATTTAACTTGGTTGTCAGCATTAAGTCATTAGAGTCTGGCAGAATTCTTTGACTTTGAGATGTATTAAAAAATATATAAAATGATCAATGTGGCCCTGACAAAAGGTCACTCATTCACCTAATCCAATAATAAATAAGGTAATCATTGAGATGTTTGAATAGAATTAATACAATTTGAAATTTATAATGGTTGTTGCAGAGAAATTAAATACTTTCTTATGTAGTGCTATTTCAAAGTATAATGAGGAATGGTGAAAAAAATGTTCTGTGTTTAAGGATGTAATAAACATGAAAATATTTAATATTTCTATTCATATATATATATAAACATTTTCATGATATGGCAAGAGTGTGTCACACAGAATTAGCAGGACTATTTTATGGTAAATTTCAGTCAATTTGTTAAATGCAGTATGTACATTGTGAACAAGTATATGAGGCTACCATCTACTCACCAATGTATCCACACACAAAAAAAGGAACATAACTAAATAACTATAATCTTATATATCACATATATCTATAACAAACACTCTAAACAACTGAACATTTAACATCCTCAAGCAAACTATACCACAGGCTTATAATTCTAACAGAAAAATATTTTTTGCAAAGGGATAGGCTTGGGTCTTTACAAATTTCTAAACTCTAAGTTCATTACTTACCACTTCTAAATTGGACATTGAAACTTGTTTTCCGTGACTTTTTTAAGGCTGTTCAAGATTTTCTAAATAAGAGAAGCAATTTCAACAATATTTTTCCTTTCCCAGCCTCCTAGATTCATTATTATCATTAGCAAAATTAGAAATATTACAATTGAGGAAGTAGAGGAAATTATAACACTAAAGATTCTAACACAATCACCTAAATGTCCCTGTTAATCACATTCTCCCAACTGAAAAAAAAGAAATTACTATTAATGTCCACTTTTTTCTTTCGTCTACCCACCAAATAAATTTTGTAATCTGCTTTGTAATTTTTATGCACATGTTATAGGAAGCTAACTTTCTAGTTTAATTTTTATATGTGGTACATTGTCAGAAGGTTTCTGAAACTCGTGGTATACAAAATAAGTCAGAATGCTGTTGTACAAAAATCAGTCAGTGCAATAAGTTGATTAGGCAAGGAAACCCATTTTGAAAAGTGTGTAAAGTTCTTTAAACATAAATTTTACAAATAACTTAAATGGTCTCTGTCAGTAGATTCCACCACTTTGCTACATGTAGAAGTTTGAAAATAATTCAGTGAAATTTCCTTGATCTGTCTTTGACCGTTGTTTTTGAAACAGGGATCACATTAGTAATCGGCCTGGCATGGCCAGGTGGTTATGGAGCTCGACTCGCAATCTGAGGGTTCAAATCCCCGTCCCATCAAACATACTCGCCCTTTCAGCCATGGGGGCATTATAATGTGACAATCAATCCCACTATTCATTGGTAAAAGAGTAGCCCAAGAGTTGGCGGTGGGTGGTGATGACTAGCTGCCTTCCCTCTAGTCTTACACTGCTAAATCAAGGATGGCTAGCACAGATAGCCCTCGTGTAGGTTTGTGCAAAATTCAGAAACAAAACAAACAAACACATCAGTAATCTTTCAATAATTATGTATTTTTCCAATTTTGAGCAAATTTGAAACTGAAAGCTACTGTATTTGTCACTATTTTGTGTGTATCGATTATTCAGTGGCAAAACTTCTCTATCAACCTTTTCAGGTATATTCTAATTTATGTGTATATATTTAACATGTATACATATTAGATAAACAGTTGTTTTTAGACTGGGAGTGAAGGTGGTATATATCTCAACTACCACCATAATATTTATTGAGAGTTAGTTATGGTAATATTTTCGACTACTACTCTTTTAAAAAATAAAATAAAAAATTGTAGAGTGGTTAACCTGACAGTGTAGAAGTTTGAAATAATCTACATTTGTTATTTGATACTTGCTTGTACAAAATGATTATAAATTAAACCTGGTATTTAAAATGGTTATAAGGAAGCAATATAAGGAAAAATTACATTATTGGCCATTCTTGTTGTTATAGCTGATAATGTAGACCAATATTTTTTATTGTTGTCACATAGAATGTTGTGGTGCATAAACAGTGGAGACAAGAATGTACTTTCTGTAATGTGCAACTTGAGATCACTATTTGGTGTAAATATGTCTCAAAAGAGTGTGATTTGGAATTTTGTTAGTGTCTAAAATCAAAAACAGTATAGCTGATTCCAAACTACATGCTACAAACAGTTCATGTGGAAATTACACTGGTAAAGATTTTAATACAACATATTTTATACATGTCATCTCACAGAATACAGTGATTTACTAAAGATTGCTAAGAAAAGAGGCAGAACCAGAGAAAGAAACCTGTGCTAAAGCAGTTATTGTTACTTCAAGCACTAAAACGTTAAAAAAACTGGATTATGAAGGTCCTGCAGCAAAAGAAATGACAAGCTTTTTAATAGAATTTATAGTTCTGACAAGCTACCTTACTTTCGTTCACATACGTAGCTATTCTCATTCACTGCTGCCCTCTATTTGGAAAAATCTTTTTGTATTCCACAAGCTTTTCACTCCCAAGCACCCCTCAGTTCACATGCTTTAACTGATTCTCACATGCAAATTATTATGTGAGAAATCTCCAACAGTAGTAGTGCCATACACCCACGTGACTTCCTCTATGCTATTCTACCTATCACTTCTTGTTCGGCAGTGCTTGTGTTCAGATGTTTAGTTTGTACTCTCCAAGTTATTTTTTTTTTTTGTATCTTCGTATAATTTTTTTTCTCAACAAGTTTACTGTTTATTATACAATAATGATATTTGTAATTTATTCCAAAGTTGAATTATTTTATATTTCTACCCAGTTATGGAACTTAATAATTTTTCTCCATTGGTCTGTTTTTTGGGGCTACACCTGTTAATTTAGCATCATGTGGGGTATCTGCAATGCTATATTCTATTTTTTTGTTTGCTCTTTTGTTTCATTCTGAGTCATTGCCATCTTTATTCATGTTCCATGTCTGGTACATTCCCATGCTTTACCTGTCCTACCTATGGGTTTCTCTATTCATCATGTGTGCTTGATGTTGACCTTAATATCATCAACAAATATAAGTAATTTATTGACCATTCCTTCATCAGTGTTATTTATGTAAATCAAAAGGAGCAAAGGTCCTAAAACTGTGGTACCCACTTTTGACATTTAAAAAGTTTGACTGAACTTCACTTATAACAGCACTCCTGTTTTCTTCCATCCACCAACTTTTCAATCCAATAAGCCAGCTTATCCACCACAAGAGATGACTTTTTTAATAAGCCATTCATGTGTCAAATGCTTCTGAAAATCCAGGAGTACCAAATTCTCACACTTACCCTCGGATACATAAGTAGTAACCTGTTCAGTGTCTGTCAGATTATTAGTAGGCAAGAATTTACCCTAGTGAAAGCATGTTGACTATCCAACAAAATTTTAAACTTTGTTAAAGGAATTTGCAAAGTATCTTTTAACACACTTTCCAAAACTTTACCCAGCATGGATGTAAAACTAATATGTCTATAATTCTTTGGACAATTTTTGTCACCTTCCTTGAAAAGAGGAGTAATATTAGCCTACTTCCAATCCTTAGTATCTTTCAAAACCCTAGGGGAGATTGATTAAATTTTTGGAAACCATAATTTAATAATAAAGTAAAACAAAAATGTAATACTATGAAGCATTCAGAATCTTCAAAATTCCATCTTCAGTACTATTGAGGTACAAAAGAATACAGTGGTGATTACACCAGAAATATTTATATAATTTGCAATAAATAATAAGTAAACAATTTGAATAGAAAAAAGTAGAAAAGGAAAAGTGAAAAGTATGTAGTGGAAATGAAATATTTATATTAAAATAGATTCAAATCAATTGAAGAATATGTATTAATTAGAGATGGAAGTAGAGTTTTTATGAATAACTTTTGTTAGAAATTCAGTATCATGTTTTGCTGTTGAGAGAATTTTAAAGTTGGAGAGAGAAATTGGATGCCCTGTTTCTGTATTATATTGGTAGAGTTGTAACTTTTCTTCCAGTTTTTATAGATATACCCACATGTTCAAATGTTTGTACTTTAAGTTGATGCATAGTTTCACCAATATAGGAGGCCTTACAGTCTCTGTATGTGTATAAGTAGATGAGGCATGCATGTTGGGCAATTACCACATGATTTTTGTTACAGAAAATTTTTTCCGTCTGTAAATAAGTTTGAAAAGAACTTTTAGGTCAATTTGTAACTCTTACTATCCTCAAATGGACCTGAATGCTGTATACTTTTCAGTTTGTATAATATTGAACCTGTATTTTCTTTGCACAAAGAGTGTTACAGAAAGAGTGGTGCAGTATTAACATATGACATTGTTCAAAAGTTCACAATGTACTTAATTTTAGGTGTATCATACTCTACATTTCTATTTGCAGTATACATTTAGCTGGAATTAGTTCACAAACTCCAACTTCATATAATAAGTTGATAAAAAAAAAAATACATAATTGTTAGCCATTGAAAAAAAACTAGTTAGTTTTCTCTATCAATAAGTTTTTATATAAGCAGATAATGAATGTTTTTGTCCAATGAATTAAACAGTAACAGTGGTTTAATTGTGGTATACGGGAGAGTTAAAAGAGAAATCTAGTAATTGTTCCTACTGTTTGTAATTGCCTTTTTTACCATTTTCATTATTTACAAACTTCAAATATGTATGTTTAGCTGCACATTTAATATTCTGTGCTTTATTCGTTTATGGTAGTTGATTTTTTTATTTTGTAGGCTCTTCCTTACATGGGAGCCATACCAGGTGGTCTACAATTAGGAAAGATAATAGTAATTTGTGGACATATTCCGCATGGAGCTGGAAGGTAAGTACTATATTTTTTTGCTATTAATAAAAAATAATAAAGATACATTCTTCATTAGTTATGTAGGAGATAATTGTTGTATTTTGAAGATAAATTATTTTGACTTGCATTAATTCCAAGCTTGTTAAGAAAAAAAATGTGAAGTTTAAATCCAATCCTTAACCTCTTTCAAAACTCTTGGGGAGATATTATCTGGCCCAGAAGCCTTATCGTTCTAGGTGAGCTACTTGCTACTACTTTTGTAAGCCCTTGAGTAGTGGACAGATGCCAAAGGATTGGAAGTTAACTAATGTCACTCCTCATTTTAAGTGAAGTGATAAAAATTGTCCCAGTAATTGTAGGCCTATTAGTCTTACATCAGTTGTGGGAAAAGTTTTGGAAATTCTGATAAAAGAGCTTTGCAAAGTCATTTAACAAAGTTTAGAACTTCATTGGACAGTCAAGATGTTTTCAATAAGGGAAAATCTTGCCTTACAAATCTTTTGGCATTATTTGAAAAGGTTACTGCTTATGTAAATGAGGGTAAGGTGTAGATTTAGTGTATCTGGATTTTCAGAAGTCATTTGAGAAGTCTTTGGCTAAGAAAGTTATATTTTATAACAGGGTGGTTGGCCTCTGGAATGGTTTGCCTTTGGTTGTTGTGGAGGCAGTAAATTCAAGTGAGTTTAAGAGAAAGCTTGATAACTATATGAATGATAAGGGTGGGCTTAAAGATTTTTATTTATTTATTTATATATAAGTTTTAGTTGAGTTTAGAGGATGGGACAGCCGAGATGGACCAATAGCTTCCTTGTTATCCTTAACGTTATATGTTATTGTAAATATTTGATGAGATGTTCATTTTGAACAAGCCAGGCACTTAGGATTAATATTTATTTTTATCAATTTTCTTTTGTAATATGAACCTTAATTTATCTTGATAACTGATGATAATTGTACCTGATGATGACAAAACCTTGTCGAAGCGTTGTACATTTGCTGTCATGTTAAACTTATATTAAAGTTTTTCTTCATTACCCATTTAAGCCGTCTCCAGCCATTATTTATCTTGAAGAAGTATAAACTCATTACTGATAGTTAAGTATCAAACATTAAGTAGCCAGTTCTTGCCTTTAGAACTATCTGAAACTACATGTTTCCAGTACTAACAATGAAAATATTTAGTTAAGTTAGACTGCCTGAAGAATTGAAAAGTTCATACTAGTAAAAGAAAGAAAAATTGTGAAAATTTACAGAGATACATTCAAAATTTCAAGAACTTTATTATCAGTGCGTGTCAATACACTTGGCATTAAAATGTAGTTTATGCTTTAAAATTTTGTATTATATAAGTTTTCGTTACTTAATTTCTAAAGGAAGTATTAACAAAAGTTTTCAGTTTTCACCTGTCTTTGTCGTGTGATGCATCTACCCTTTGAATTCTCATTTTTAGCTATTCTTTCTTCTATTGTATTGTTTGTAGTCTGTACAACAAATAAGAAACAAACTATAGATGATTATAAGTCAGAATATAAAACTAGAAGCTCCTATTTTCTTGACCTGCTGAGATATAAATAAATTTCTTCAACCCACAAAGCTTCACATACCTTTATTTTGTAGATATTTTATAACCAATAGAAAAAGCCTTTCCTCCTTTACGAGGGTCTCACTATGATAATTGCCTTCTGGCAGGCAAATCTTGATAAATTTATCTATGATTGTTTATTTATGATGGCTATTATTGAGCTTTGAAGAGCTAACAGAATATTTTTACTTATTTGTAGCTTAGTTACAAAGAGTTAAATTACAGTGTCTTGGGACATTCTATTTTAATGCATAGTATGGTTTGCACTTACAAAGATCAGGTGTGTTGCACTTTGCTGGTATTTTATTACTTTGGATGAGAGAATCCCTACATCTATGGGTTCAAAGTACAGCAGTGAAATTAACAAAAGATATTAATAGTTGGAAGTGTCAAGATAAGACCAATAATCAAGCAAAATAAATTGTTGAAAGGAGAAATAAAAAAAGGTATTATTTATTTTATTTCATATTTTTCAAATTTTATTGCAGAAACTCTTCTCACCTTTCTGCACAACAAAGACCTATTACCTTGTATGCACTGACTTGTCATTTCCTGCACATGTCACAAATCTTGAACAAAGCTCTGAACCTTAAGTGGGCCAGTGTGTATTGTGCCAGCCTATGATGTAACCATTATTGGACTGTAGCCCTCCACCAATAGGAGGGTGACAATTCCTCTATGAGCAGTAATCCCCGTGATCACCAGCATATGACCAGAGACTCATTTCTTTCCGTGGCACTGCTTGTATTCAGAAGAGACTCCCTCTATGTAGTTGAACCTAATCATCACTTCAAAATTTGGCATGACAGTGTTAAAACCTAATGCTTGATTTCAGACTTTTTTTTTTTCTTTAGTGCATTTTGAAAATATTTAGTTACTGATTTTCACATTTCAAAGTATCTTTTATAATCCACTATCGAGTTGGATTTCTTTATTTGATTTTGAATTATATTTCTCACTCAATTACCAGTAGTCAGTCAATATTTTTGAATTCACAATTTACTATTATGACTACAATGGCTACTGACAGTACTGGGATTCAACATCTCATGACAGTGGCTGCAGGTGAGGCATTATTGGCAGAGGAAGTGTTGGTCGTAGTATGTTGGGAGATGGCTTTTTTCATGTGGGCCATGGGATCTCCTGATCTACTGTCAATTCTACCATTGCCTGTGGACTTTGATCATGATGATGTGGACTTGGACTTTTTTTAGAATGAGTGCTGATTGTAACAGACAATTATTATCATTTATCCTAACTGCTTCAACTTTTAACTTTTCACATTAGCTTTCAGACACTAAAATACAATGTCCCAAAACTACTATAATTTAACTGGTTTTCTAACTAAGCTATAAATATATAAAATTTTAACATTTAGCTGCTCAGGGCTAAACAGTATTAATCATATACAATGAAATCTAAAGCCTCTGTCTACTATTACTGCCAAAAAATTAAATAACCTAATAAGAATTTTGTAGAAGGTAAAATTATCGTTCTGTTGGTTATAAGTATGTCCATCATGTGAGACCACATGGTTAGGATATGAACATGGTTTGAAAGCTATGATAAAATAGTAGTTACTTCAATGGTTAGTTTGACAAATTCATTGATATCTCATCAAATCAAGAAGGCAAGGTGTTCAAATTTTATATGCTGGCCTTTCAGTTTCTATAGTTTGTGTTTCTAATTAGTTGGACTCTTTGAAAGCCTTGTTAATACAGATATACAATTTAAAATGGAGAATTCAGAGTGGAGACACATCCCAACACAGAGAAGTGAAGAGTGAGAATTTATTCAAATATTTTCTTTTGAAATTAAGACATGTAAACTTAGATAAGGTAAAACTTTGAACTATAAACTATGATTTGATGCTAATTTTATTAAGTTATATTGATAATAAACTTAATTAAACTTTGAATGTAGCTCTAAAAGGTTGTGATATGTGCATTTTGACCCAGCATAAGGTTTAGTTGGAGATGATCACTTTTTTTTTACTGTATCTGGTAGTAGGTGTCAATACATTCTGTTAAATGCTGGCTTATATAGCTGAGTACTATGTGCTCTCATTTTACAAACTGTTGTTTAACTGACAGTGAATCTTATGTAGGTTACTTGTTAAGTTGGCAAAGCATTTGGGGTGGGGATACCTGTAGTTAGGTTCTACAAAAAGCTCATGTAAACTAACTTTCTGTTAGTGGTAATTTTTTGTGAGATTATTATTTATTCTTAATGGATTAAATTGAGAAATTCAGTTTTGCTAATCCCATTATAACACTTGGTTTTATGTGAATCATACATTTTTAAAAGATGTTCTAATTCAGCATTGCTTTTGTTATGCAACTTATTACATCAAAACATATCTTATTATTTGTATATTGGCTACTTTAGGTAAAACCATGTTGTTATCACTTGTCAGATTAAAAAAAAAATGTAATATATATATATAAGTCCTTTTTGCCAATTGTTGAAATAAATGACTTTTACTTATATTTCTTAATAGTATAAATATATACTATGTTTTTGTTGGGCTTAGGATTCTTCTACAGTAGGTGTCTGTGACTTGTTAATAATAAATTTAAAGATGAATAAACAGCACACACTTTACTTGTTTTCAAAAAATATATATACATATATATATATATAT